CCATCCACAACCTTTTGTTTACAGATATTTTGGTGAAATTCTGATTGTAGTTAAACGGTTTGAGCATTTAATTGGCATTCAATGTGCAACGTAGCCAAGAGCCAGGGTTCAAGGTTCAAAAGCAAGCCCCAGCTACCTGTCCAACCCGCTCATTTTGCATGTTATCATTTCTTTATATTCGTTTGTAACTCCTCTTTTTTATACAATTTAGCATGAATCTATGAAAATATAATATTTTTAGTCAAGCAAGTCAACCATTTAGAAGCTGCCCCGCAAAATTCCAAAAAAAAAAATAAAAGTTAAATATTAAATTAAATGTGTTATTTTTTTATTTTGGTATTTCCTTAGGCTTTTCGAGTCGGTTGCCCGATCCTGTCTGGCCAAATCGAACCCCCCGCAGCAACTCAACATGCCCGCTGTCGATGGCGAGGGCCAGGAGGTAGCCAACATCAACTGAGAAAACGCCACCGTCCGACGCTTCTGCCTAGAGGTCTGTGCCCGACCCAGACGTAGGCAGTAGCTGCCTGGGCTGAAGGCCGACCATACACCACCACCACCACCACGCGCCACGCCACACTGCAACACAACAACATCATACCCTTCGATAAGCTCTACTATCAATTATCGTGCTTAGTTTTTAGTAAAAAAAGAAAATCGTTTTTTTAAGAAGACAGTGAAATCAGATACAAAAAAAAAAAAGAAACAAACAAAAAAAAAAGAGACACGAAACATTATAGAATAACCAGCAGGCTAGGCCAACACTGCTGTGGGGTTGTGGAAACCTAAATTCGACTTGTATTTAAACGAACACGAAACGATAACATTTTAAATGCCCCGCCCACACGTGATTGTGGAATGTTACAAATTTTTAAATGCGTTGTATTATAAATGGTAGATGAGAATAACTAAAAAAAAAACTGTGTAAAGAAATCAAAGAAAAAAATCTTTAAAAAAAAACGAAAGAAAAAAACCCAAAAAAGAAAACTTTATGAAAAAAACTGAAAATTAAACAAAAAAAAAAAAACCAAAAAAAAAAATTGAAAAATGTATATTGAGAAAATGCGAAAAAAAAACTAACAAATGCGATGTAAATATGTAGATTGTTGTTGCTACAAATCGAAGGGCAAACAACAACAACCATCCAAGTTAGATCAAAGAAAGAGGATTTGTTGCTTAGGATTGTTGGAGTAGCATCATCAACAGCCACATACATATATAGGATTTGTTCAGGAGTCCAGCAGGAAGAGGAGACCTAGTGAAACCTAGTGTATAGACCAGAAAGATGATACGATGCGTTTGAAGTCCTCAAGTCAATAAATAATTCGAGTTGTCAAAGTAGCTTACCACCTTCCCCTAATTAAAGTACGATGTATAATTTGCAAAAAAAATGTATCTTTATCTCTAAGAGTCCCACTCAGTCTTCTCGTATACGTTAATTTTTAAAATGTTCCCGCACAACAATGAACTATAAGAAGAGTAGTACTAACAACAACAACAACAACCAATCACTGTTTGATCTTATTTGCAAATGTATGCGCCACCTTTTTTTGTTTAATTTTACTTAAATATTTTTTTACGAACTGATTATTAATTGAACATGAATTTTTGCATTAAAAAAACACCTCTTAGCTTGTTAAACGTATAATTGATCCTCCAATGTAAAGATAAAGCTGTTAGAATCAGAAAGAGTTCGATATGCATATAGAAAGCGAGAGATGTCGCAGCAGTTATCTATATAGATCTATATATAATTATATAAAAAATGTATTTCTAAATATAAATACGTAATGTATAAATCTAAATCGATCTGATTGCAGCACACAGGGAGTGGTATTTGGTCTAAAACTAAAAAAAACTTAAATTCATGTGTGTTATTGAACCCACTCCCCCAACTCATGCACTCAAACACCACCCCCCCCCAACACCCAAACACCCAACACCCACTGCAGCAAATGAACATTGCCCTAATTTTTATTAGTTTTTAGTTAAAACAGAAAGAACATTCATTGTATTTACCTACGAACTTCAAAAAAAAATGTATTTTTGAATTAAACTGAATATTGAAGCCTAAAGCCTAAAGCCCAAAGCCTGGCTAGAAATGCACATGTCTGGCCGATCTGTAGAAAGCTAATGTAGATTTGGCGAAGTAGGAGAACTGAAGGTGGAAGCCCTAGACTCATTATAGCATAATTCCGTTTGCAATGGCCAAGACGTGATGAAATTGATTATAATTTGATGTATATGATGTATGTACAGACATATAGACAGACATGCGTTCACCGATCAACCAACACAATATATACATTACATTTATTAACAAAAGCTGCGACACAAGAAAACACAACAAGTCTACATATATAAATAATAATCCATTACAATCGAAATAAGTAACGATACGCATTAAGAAGATCAATATATATAAATATATATATATATATATATAACAAATTAATATGTAAACAAAAACAAATATTAAATGTATAAATGGCAAAATTTTAAAAAAATTTAAAGAGTTTTTTTTAATATTATTCATCGTTCAAGACTCTTCGTGTCGTGAGTCACTTGAGCAGCTCTAATATTTTCCCCCCTTTTCCGCCTCCTCTCCCTTAATGCCCGTTATGTGTGTGAGTGGGGCAACACTTAAAAAAGCTCATTTTATTGGAGCAAAGGCCCCATATACATGTATGTATGTACATATGTAGCCCATTTCCGCACCCTGACTTACATAACCCAACCGCCCACCACCACCCACCGCCCGCAGCTGCTTGGTGGGGCGCATTTGGGTTAAGTAAACATGGACCCTCGGCGAAAATGTCGATAAATGCCGAAAGAGAGAGAGTGTGTGTGTGTGTGTGGTTACTGCTTGGAAAACTGAACAGTAGTGTGTATTCTGATATGTATGATGTCTGTGTCTCTATATCTATTTTGTGACACGAATTCAGCATTAATTGAAATGCTGCAGTCATCGTAGTTCCCTCCCTCCCTCTCCCCCTCCCCTTCCCTAGTTTTCGTTGCCAATTCACATGAATTTGTCATAAGGCTGATAAACGACACGAATGGACACGAAGCCAAAGAAAAAAAAATGAGAAAAAAAACCCGTAGAGAACAAATGCCCCAACGAGTTGGATGGTGGAGCTTGAGTGGTATGGGTGCGTATCTGTGTGAGCGCTTGGAAACAGAATGTGGCACACTTGAGCTCTGCCGACGTCGCTGCGCAAAAAAAAAAATTCCCCAACGTACATACATAATAATGTGTACCCCCGCAGTACCCTGGAGCACCCCGTTACCCGCCCGCCATTTGCCATCCCTGGCGGGTATCCGAAAGATACAAAAACGCGGCGCTGCAGCTTTGTTGCCTAACGTTCGTCGTATATGGATGGTGGCGGGGCGGGGGGCGGTGCTGGGAGGTAGCCATTTGAATGAGCTTAGAAGTGCGCGCGCGCGCTGCTGTGCGAGAGAGATAGTTGCGTCGAGTTTCGTTAAAAAGCTTCCAGCCACGGCCGCCCTAACACAGTCACGTGTTCGCCGCATATCTGTATCTGTAGAGTAGCCTGTACCTGTATCTGTAACTGTAGCTGTAGCTGTATCTGTGTGTGAGCAGAAGCAAGCTTCTTGGCTGCTTTTTGCGGCTGAGTCAGCGACAGCGCCATTAGTTGGAGCACATTTTGTGTATGCTTCTGTCAGGCCATTAGTTTTTTTTGTTGCTGTTGCTGTTGCTTCCCTGCCTCTGCCTCTCCAAAAAATGTCGAGGTTTTTATGTAGCCCTACCAGATACTCAGATACAAAAGCTGTACATAACAAGATACAAAAAAAAAAAAACATAGAAAACCCTCACTTTTCCTGCCTGGCTCTTTGAAAGGTTTTTTTTCAGAGCCAAGAACCAGACCGCAGCTGCATTTCTTTTCCCACAAAACTGCACTGCACTACTGCACCCCCTCCGCCCCACCGGCCCAACGGGTTTTGACCCAGTTTATCTAGGCCTGCACCGACTAGTCAGACTTTGGGCTTTCTCGCACACCGACACGACTACATACATTGTTGGCCGAGTTGCACGGCCCACAACCAAAACCCTATGATTAAGCCCAGTCCAGTTGAAACTAGACCATCGCTTCAATCTCTCTCTCTCTCTCTCTCTCTCCATGAACACAAATTGCAGCGGAAATTGCTAAAAAAAAAGAAAAGCTTAAGAGAAATCGGAAATTTGAATCCACCCCAGAGCACTGATAGTCCCCAAAAAGTATTCCTTTTGGCCAATTCATCCTTAAATCGATTGCAGGTGAAATCGTCAATCAGAAGATATTGACAGTTAATGGGAAAACATAATTCAATCATTCAGACATGTTTATGCGGGTAGAAATTGTGATATTACAGAAAACATTACAGGATTATACCTGTATTTATAACCTTACTATAGCTATCATACCTCTAACTATAAACCTTTAAAATGATATGATATTATAGTTATCTTAAAATAATAAAACCGCATAAACCTCATAGAGTTAAAAGGATGTTTGGCAATGAAATCCTGAAGGATTTGACACACAGCTTTCCTGACGAAAGTGCTCTGTCATGGTGATCCCCTCATGAATGCAACATGAATGCAGGCTCTGCCACAAGCCACTGATTCCACATTCCATATGCAATATGCTGATTCTACATCGGAACTGTGATGACGAAACAAAGCTGGAACAGATGGCCAGAAACCATCGTCCATGGACCACCTGAGAGAGCAGATTGATGGAATGATTGCGACTACTGAGTGACTGATTGGGGCTGCCTGCAGGTTGTTAACTGCCAGTTGCCCGATTTTCTAGCGACCGTTAATTGAATTCGCCTCCAGGTGTGGCTCCAGCACCAGCTCCACCTCTAGCTGTAGCTCCACCTCCAGGTCTAGCTCCAGTTCCAGCAGGAAATTGCACAGCGTGCCGTTCAATTAAAAGTCGATATTCAAATTTCCCTCCCAACACCTTCTATGACCACCACCCTTTGTGGAAAACTCATTTTAGCTGTGGTGCATTTTAATTGGATTCACCCCAAGTGGGAGGACTGAGCAAGGATATACTTTCTTGATCCTAGGCGTAGGGTCCGATACCAGCGGCCCGGGCCATCAGAGCCGGAATGTTGCTCTGTTCGTAGGTGCCGCTGAAGTACTGGGCATAGGGACCCGAGGCGTACACAGCCACATCATCACCGCCATGGGTTTCCGCGTCCAGGGGCACCAAAGTCGGGTACTGGTAGTCGGCATCATCCAGGGACTTGGCCTTAAGCTTGGCACGTCCCTCGACGCGATTATAGCCATTGTAGTAGCCAGGACCGTTGGCATACGAGAGGGTGGTGTACGGCAGACCATCATCTGCATTCTGGGCCAGGCCAGTAATGTCCTGGGTGCGCTCCTGCAGGGGGATAAAGGGATTAGCATTTGAAGGCCGAACCCGACTAAGACCTCCTTACCGGATAACCATTGATGGACATGACGTGGGCATGATCGGCGGTGACAACGATGAGGGTATCCTCGTCGGAGGTAAGCTCCCGAGCTATCTTCACGGCGTTGGCGAACTCGGCAGTGTCCTCCAGGGATCGTCGGGCGTAGGTGTCATGGTGGGCCATGTCGATGCGGGCCCCCTCGACAAACAGGAAGAATCCCTCGGAGCTCTTGCTCAGCACTCGGATGGCGGCTTCAGTGAGCTCGCTCAGCGACGGATCCGCCAGCTGGCTGCGCTTCCTGATCCGGTCACCGTTGTAGGGCAGATGCGAGGTGGCAAACAGGCCGAGCAGATAGTCCGTCTTTTCGGGATCCACCAGGCTGAGACCCTTGCGACTCCACACATAGTTGGCGGAGACATTGGCCTCCTTCTTCTGCTCCAACCAGTCATTGATCAAGTGACGTCCATCGTTGCGCAGGCCGGGGATTCCCTCCTCGTCCCTAAAGGTGTCGTTGATGAACATCTGGCGGCCGCCGCCCAGAATCACCTTGAGCCCCTGACCCACCGGCTGCTCCACCAGCTGCCGGGCAATGTCGATGGTCTGCTCGGGATCACAGCCCCTGTTGGCCACCTCCCAGTCGTTCTCCCAGTTGCGATCGGCGATGTGCGCATACACACCGGCTGGGGAGGCGTGAGTCACACGGGCGGTGGTCACCAGACCAGCATCCTTGCCAGCTGCCTGGGCCCACTGAGCGATACTCAGGACCTGATTTCCCTCGTACTGGGCGGCATCACAACTGTACCGTGTAACATTGGCATTGACGCCAATGGTGCCGTAGTTGGCCTTAACGCCGCCCAGATAGGCGGTGGCGGTGCAGGCGGAGTCGGCCACCTGGCGGTTGACGCAGTAAGTCTTGGACAGGCCGGTGTAGGGGAATCCCTCGAAGTACACCTGCTCGGCACTGTCGCCCAGCAGGTTCCTGGTGGCCGTCACCGTGTGCACGGACATGCCATCGCCCAGGAACAGGATCACGTTCTTGGCCTTGTTGGTGTTCGTGGCCTGAGCCTCGGCCAGCTTGGACAGGATCTTGGCCTGAGCCTTGTCCACCCAGTACTGGGTCTGCTGCTCTTCCGGATACTTAATGGCATAGGTTTGGCCATCGAGGGCACGACCGGGAACAGGATGATCTAAAAAGCGAATGGTTTTATGAAGAATATTTTGAAAATGTTTGGGCTATAACGGTCTATAATAATGTTGGAATTTTAATTACTAGTTAGTGTTGAGTAATTCTAAAATATCGAAACAGGGTTGTAATTGAAAGAAAGTTTCTAAGAAGTAGGCCTTGTCTTCGAAAAAATGTTACCCTTTGGGGTGAGGCTGTCGATTTAGTTCAGTCTGCATTGGGTCTTCAATGCCTTCTCACCTCTCTTATTTTCTTCTTATTATTATTTTATTATTTTTATTTTTTTGGAAACTGATTTATTTATTATTTTTATCCAAGATTATAACGTTGAGCTTCATATTGCTGTCATATATGACTGTTTTGCTGGATGATGAAAATAATGTTTGTTATAAAGACTTATAAACTTTTAAATTTCTTATTTTCTTATTTTATTTTCTTTTTTTATTTACCTAAATTTGTTTTTTAATTAATATTTATTTTAATCGGCAGATTCGAGTCTTATCTATAGGCATAGGTTGGTGGGTTTACATGGCCAGTGTAATCTGAAGAGCAGATTTTAATCCTTCTGATAAACTTTATTTTTGTTTTCTACGATTGAGGATCTTATGTAATATTTTCACAGCGTATTCTCATTATTTTTTTATTTTCTTTGTTTTTTTTATTTTTCTATCCGATTTGTTTAAAATTTTACATTAGTTGGATTTGTTTTGGGATGTAACATCTCCTCGAGTTCTTCTTTCCTTATTTTATTATTTAAAATTTTTTATATTTTGAAACATTACAAACATTTCAAACATTTAAAACATTCTGTATTTAAGAAAAAATAATTTTTATTTTTTTTTTTTCTTCTCTTTTTATTGGACATAGTTATTTTTATATATTTTAATTTTTTTCTGAAATGGTCCCTAATGCCCCGATTACCATTGCTATGTTTTTGTATTTTTATTTTTATATTTTGAATATTTAATTTTTATTTAAGAAAAAAGGAATAATTTTTTTTCTTGTTATATTTTTATTATTATTATTTTGTTATTATTTTGAAATAGTCCTTGGAATACATGGTATACATGGAATAGAAATACATGTTGAAATCCGATCCGACCTTTTTTAAGTTTTTTTTTTGTTTTTTTTTTAAGGTTAGACCCCGGCCTATGTACCTTTTTTTAGATATTTTTTTTTTTTATCCTAATTCTTACCTCCGTGTCCACTAACACTCGCGGATAACCAAGCGGCTATGAAGAGTAACAGGATCACTTTCCTGGCCATGTTTTCTTCGTTGCCAAAGCCGATCGATAGACTTGTGTGAAGGACGGACCTTGGTTGAAGACTGAAAGCTGACCAGGCCGTATACTAAGGCTAGTAGTAATCAGTATCAGACTAAATCTAATCAGCGCTGGCCAAAGAAAACTAATCTAGACGGCTCAATCAAATCATCATTTATGGCTGGCCAAGAACAACCAGTTAACTGGAATCATAGAGCCAAGGAATCAATACCGTTACCAAATCTTGCTCACGTGCCATCACCACAAAGTTGATTTAATATTTTTTTTGGTTACATATATATAGAATCCATTTAATTGCTCAAGAGTCTGGAAAATGATTTTATTTTATTATTTTCATTTTGAAACTTTGGGGTTTTCCCAAGTGTTGGCCAACTTTTATTGACGTCAATGGCTTTGGTGCAAAAACATTTCACTTAAGAACTTTATGGTTACCCAAGTAATTGCAGCACTTGGGATAAAGTTAGCCGGCCCCCCTTAAGGCTAACTCTGGTACTTTTTCAGTGGCTACTATTGTACACATGTAGTCCCTGACCCTTGAGATAATTGGCTATAATAAAATACAAGTTAAAAAACCTTTTTTTTAAACAAGAAGCTGAAATTGCATACTTTCAGGCTAGTCATAGCCAAGAAAGAAACTAAAACATTTATAATATTGTTTTAGCCAAAGCTACAATAGAACCAGTAAACTTTAAAATCTGAAAAAGACATTATATTATCTACTTACAAAATATTCTAAAATATGATATACAAACCGAGGTAAAAACCGGAAGTGATGGTGCAAAAAATGGCACTGTTACGGTGATGGGTCGCTGGGCCCTGAGAATAATGAGGAAAACCCTACGACGGGTCTCTCGATCCCACTTGTACCAGGCACTACAATAGGCAGCTTCCCCTAGAGAAAGGCTCTAAAAATTATAAATAATATTTAAGAAAGATATTTAAAAAAAAAAAGGAAAGAAAAGAAACCCACTTCTGTAGCCATTTCGGTGCCGCCATAACAGTAGAGAAAAATGGCTGAAGAAACCGTAAAGGTGTACACCACATAGCGGATGATATTATAGCCAGAATACTAAGGAAAGGCTATAAACTAAGTTAAAAATTAAATAAATTAATATTCAAATCCTCACCAGAAGTATATCAATCACACTGGTGGCTATAACCACACTGGCGGAAACAAAATGAACAAAAGTCGGAGCCGCCATGATTCCAGAAAAACGCTCCACAATCTTTTCGATTTCATTATGGCGATCCACTATATCCGCCAGCTGTTGACAGCAAAGCTTGGACTCTCTTCCTGAAGGATCTTAAAACCAGGAATAAGTTCAAAGCCTTCCAAAAGGAATCCACCACATACCTTGAACCGATCTCAGGGCATCCAAGACATCCCATTTGAGTGCCTGGAGCAAAAAAGCCACATAGAGAGTGAAACCAAAGAAGAATCCATCGGTGCCGGCAAAGGCATAGACTGTCACCTGACCGCTCCAAGTGGAGTACAAGTAGAAAATGGGAAACCAGGGCATTCGATGAGCAAAGTCCGGAAACCTAAAAGGTATCCCTAAGATCATAATATATTAAAAGGATCTGGACAACCTACAGCATTCGAAATGGCATATCGAACTTGAATTCCTGTCGCCGACGCACATACATCTCCCAAAGGGATCGAAGGACAAAGGCTCCAGTGGTAATGCTGCCCAGGGTAAACACCAGCATACCACTTCTGGTGGCCATGACGTAGCAGCTCCTCTGGGCATTGTCCCTTCGAGAATCCCTTCTTCGCTCCTGCTCCTCGGTGAGCTGTCGGATGTGGTCCATCAGACCGGTCAGCTCCTGGCGGCGCCACCACATCCAGCCCAGCTTAAAGAGGGTAGTGGCACTGCAGGCCAAAGGACAAAAGGCATCCATGGCATCCACGGGACTGGTGCGCAGATGGCTCCAACCAAAGTCAAACTCCGCCTGACAGCAATGGGCCAGGTTGACAAAGTTGAAGACCAACCAGGCCAACTGAAACCAGGACATTTTCTGGCCAAAACTCAGACCCAGCAGGCCGAAGGAGTATCTGGTCACAAAGAACAGATGCTTCTTCAGCGGATAGTTGCGGTCCAGAAATCGCGGGTACATGACTGAGGTTTTCTTTGATTTTAAGCAGACATCCTTTTATATAGGACCCCCTCAGGGAAACCTCAAGTCACGCCATTGGGTTTTATTTAATAACAGGATCAGAGAAGGTCCTTAATTAAGTGGGCGATAGAATTCACACGCCTCTTATGTCAACAAACCTGCTTGTTTTCTACCTTCATAATTAAAAGTCATTTAATTTTTTTAATAATAAGCTGCTTTGCTTTGCTGCTTAAATGGTTTAATTATAGAAAGGATATAACATGTTATTATACAATTAAACATGTAATGCCAGCTAGGTTGGTTTAAAATTTTAAAGAAATTCCTGACTTGTTCGAAGCAAACATTCATCCATAAATATGAGGCTACCTTTTGTTCTGTGACTTGAGCATAAATTTGTGTTTGCTCTTTTGTTTTCTGAGTTTTCTTTTTTTTCGAGGAAGTTTGTTGAACTCCTGATGAACTCGCGCCAAATTCGAATTTCAAATCAGTTGCGATGTGGGTCAGGCGAGATGAAACATTCAAAGATTTGCATGGGATTCACGCCGCACACAGATTTATGTTGATGCATGCAACACGGCTTTCTTGTTTTTGGGGTGAATCACTTTTAATAAAGTTCTTTGTACGGATCACGTTGCGTATGAGCAATGTCCCTTCGCAATCTTCCAATATTGATTTCCAGTCGGGGCACCTTTGATTATGATTATGTGGCAGCCAGCTGAGCGTTGGGGTGGGTTTAATCTCAGTTGGGTTTCTCAGAGGTTTCCACCCCCCAAATAGCTGATATCATCGGCCCATCCCCGGCTCCACCGCTCCACCACCCACATCCACAAACCAAGCGCCTCGTTTTATGATGGCCCTGCAGATGGGGCAACCAACCAACCCCAAAAAATGGCAACAAAGGTGACCCCGACACACCCTGTTGAGCCAAGCCAGCCACCCCTGGAAAATTTGGCCTGGAAGGCTCCCTCTTCTGTGCCACAAAAGCATTACATTTTATTTTCCGGGGAGCCCGGCAGAGATCCTTCCTTTTTATTTTTGCAGGAAAATCAGATAAGCTTGAGGAAAATGTGGGTGTGGGAGTGGAAATGGGAAGGGAGTGGAGTAAAGTCAAGTGGAGGGAAAACAAGCTCGGCAAGTGGAATAGCTAGGAGTGCCAGCTGGAACGGAAGAAAAGGAGGCCAGCGTGTCAGCGAGTCGCCAAAAAACAGTTGCAGAACCCGAATGAAAAACCCGTTTTCCCACTCGCGCACACACTTACACACTGGTGGCCCACATTTGCACAGTTGCTGTGGAAAATGGAATCGAGTTTTCCCAGTTTCGCTGCAGCAATTTGGTGGCACGGCCAGGGGGAGGAGTATATCGGAGGTAGGCAACGAAACAGGTTGATTTTCCTGCTGACGCTGTTGGCCATTAGCCAAATGGGATTTCACACGCTTCCTTTAAGCTTCGCTCTGATGCGTTCGCCTCACGTCATGGCCCAGTTGAAGTTGCCTGTCGTTGCCAGCAACCACTCCACTCCACTATACTCCACTCCCATGAAGCTATAGCCATTGCCACATCCATAACCATAACCAAATACCCCTCTCTGTTCAACTGCCATCAACATCATCTTGCACCTCCAGGCGGGATCAATTATTAAGGCGCCGCTCGGGACGATTGTGCGACAACCTGATTGACAGACAAACCTGCCCAGGTGCTTTCAGCACATCATCCGAAAGCCATAAAACTCATTCACAGTTGACAACCAGGTCGAGTAGAAGGAGCACTATAATATGCAATGGGAGATTACTGAAATATGGTTAAAGAAATTGGATTTGTAGATGGTTTTAGAAGAATTTTGTTAAGAGAGAAAGAATAGGGTTTTAAAAGTGATTACTAGACTATCTGGGTAGTTTTAGAACCTCTTAAGGACTTGGTTACAAGAAGATATATATAGAAACTATCAAAAAATCGAGGAACTTTTAAAACTAGTAAGTCGATAGATAGAACTAGACTAGTACTAGTAGTTTAATAACTTTTTAAAGACCTGGCCTTCAATATATATACTCTCTTATAATCTACATCTATCATAGAACATTAATTCTCATAAAAAACTTAATATTCCTAGCTAAAAATCCAAAAAAAGAAAAACTTTAAGCCGATAGAATTATTCAACCACCAATTTTAGGACCCTATACAATAATAGAATCTATATCCATCATATAATCCCAATCCTCATAGAGAGAGAATATAATATCCCAAGGCAAAGATCCAAAGAAAACCTTTAATGTTTGTACTGATGAATGAACTAACTAAACCACTAGTTTCAGGACGTTTTATAGAACTTTATCATAGAACCTATATCTATCTAAAACCTAAAAACCTCTACAACCTCATAAAAAATAGAATATCCCAAGACAGAGATCAAAGAAAATCTTACCTAACTAAATTACTACTTTTAGGGCCTTTTAGTGACTTGGCTAAAAATAGACATACTAATATAGAATCTATATTATAGATCCTACATCTATCATACAATCTAAAACCTCATAGAGAACATAAATAATATCCCAAGACAAAGATCTAAAAAAACCTTAAAAGAATGCTTTTTTTACCATTCTTACCTAGACCACCTTAAAAAGCCATCTTATAAGTAGTTCTAGAACCTTTTAAAGCAGAGGTCGGCACCCCAATACATTGATATGATTTTACCGCATTAGTGTTAGTAACGAATAGCAGAAAGTAGGCTTTGAGCATGACGTTTCACACATTTATACTGTGTGTGTGTGGCAGAGCTCGGGCAGAGAAATGTCCTATGCCCCCGAGATAGGGCCGTGCCGACCTCTGTTTTAAAGACATTACCACAAATATATATATTTGATCATAGAACCTACATCTATCATAAAATCCAAACCCCTTCAGAGAACATAATCTCTCAATAAAAATGATCCATAACAACTACAAGCATACAAATTCCAATGGATGATTCGTTTTTTTCTGGTTAATTTACAAAGTGGCGTTAATTATAATTAAAACAGGCAAACTAAATGAACTAATTTATAAATAGCATGTACATGACTATATGGCCAGAGTTCTATGTACATATGTACATACATGCATATCCATATGAATGAGTACAAGTACACACATATGCAGTAGATATCCGATGTATAGTACACTAGTGTGGGGCTTATATCCCCGTTCACATGGCCACAGATCGAGCGTGACACAATACAATTTGTGGCGCTTTGTTCTAAGCGCTTGAAACTCTTCTAGGCCCCCCCTTTTAGCAGCAGCCCCTGATGACACCCCCTCGTGGCGGCGAACAGACGTGACATAAGCTAAATTGTTTTAAATTTTGTTGAATCGCTTTTCCAATGACTGGCAAGCAGCATTCTCAGTACTGCCTCTGGCAATAAATTGGAACCGCTTCGCATGTCATGTGGTTCACTGTGGTGGCAGCTAGGAGGGGGTGGTTGCGGTCTCGGGCTTGCGGCTAACTTAGTCAGGGAGAGTCATCTTCAAGTGCGGCTCCTCGGTCAAGAGTGCAGCCCGATAATTACTGACTGAGTAGAGATGTCAGCTGACACCGGGAATGGGGGGAAAACCACCCGCCTGCCCAATCCACTCCAGACCAGATGGAGGCCTCTGATTAATGGCAATTAGCGTGTGGATCGATGTTGGATCGGTGGTATCACCAGTTTGGTTGCATTTACAACACGAAACATGTGCCACATTTCATCTAATTTGGGGCGACAATGTAAGCGCTGACAACGACATGTCCAGCATAATGTGGAGGATGGGGAGAACTTGGCTTTAGAATGCCTGGAATGGGGTAAATTAATTAAATTTCAATTTAAAACGACAACTGTAATTAATGGCCAGACTAATTTCAAACCGACTTTAAAAGTCATGGATTAAGGCTTTAACTTTAGAGGGCATTCTGATATAGCCCCTTGTGTTGCAGCCACCTTGACTTCAAAGGCCCCAACTCTGAAAGCTCCAATCGTCGTTAAACCGAAAGCTAAGCCAAGCTCAGGCTTCTCTAACCAAAAAAAAAAACCATTTATCTCACACACACACACACCCAAAAAAAAAACAGTTCTGACGCCACAAATTTTGAAACTCGCCGCTTCAAGGCCAACTTCTTATTAAATGCCAAGATGTGAGCAGTAGAACAGAAGCGTTGCAAGTGGCCAGAAGGACAGAAATATAATTACAGACTAATGGAGCCAAAGATCAAGTGCTAAGCTCGATTCTCTCCCCTCTCAAAACTATCGGTTGGATGTAAAACTATGTACATACATACATACATATGTATGTAGCTTTCAAAGATCATCAAATGCAAGATGGCGTCATCTGAGCTTGGAAATCCGGATTATTACGAGAATAGTTGTCAGAGGCTGGAGGGAATATAACCTCTAATGAGTAACCCCCACAACCCACAGTGAAACAATAGTTTATTTTTTTATCTTCTTTTTTTATTAACTATCGATTATTACTTTTTTTTTTGAGGTTAGAAACACTTAAAAAGCCCACACCCATAATAGAATATTATCTGCTATTACTTGGAACTGTTGTTTCTTGGAAAATATTGACTGAAGAAATATTCACATGAAGATAACTTTAATCTTCTTGTAAATAATGAATTATCGGTACGTGCTTTGGGGGATATTTATTGCCTTTCCACACCGTTCCCATTAAAATGAAATATTATTTTTAACAGAAAAGTATTTATAACCTGGAAAGTTTAGTTTTAAAAACAGGGGCTTAGAGGGCTTGGGGCTTGGAGAAGCTTCGATATAGCCTCTTATATACATATGTACATACATTTATGTAAATTAGAATGTACATAAAGATCTGTTTGCTGTTTGCGAGTTAGCGGGCTTTGTCTCCGGCTCCCAAGGTCAGGCTGCTGCAGTTGTTAGATGGAATGTGTGAGCGAGATGGAATGTGTGAAACAAAAACTTCGACTCCGGACCTCCAATTCAAAGTTACAAATGCAAAAAAAAAATATAAAA